AAAAGTAGACAATGCATGCAATTAGAAGCAGTATTTGCTGGCTTTCACTAAATACACAGACTCAGTACAGAACAACAACAACAAAAGAGTGGTCCTGTTTCCACCAGGGACAGCAAGGAGGCTGATATGGCTGGAGCCCAGGAAGCAGGAGAAGAATGAAAGGGGAGGCGAGAGAGGTTCAGACCAGGTAAGAGATGGTGGTGGCTCTGACCAAGGTGACAGCAGTTTGAAAGGTGAGAGGTTGTAAGCTTATGAACATATTTCCAAGGTAGAGCCAAAAGGGCTTTGCTGACAGAGAGAAAAATATTAGAGGATAAACACAAGCTTTTGGGTCCAGGCTATTGGAAGGCTTGAGGTGCTATACCTGGGTTGAACAGACTTGGGGAAGAAGATGAAGAGGTCATTTTGGGACATGTTAAGTGCACCATCCAAGTGGAGATGTTAACAGGCACTAGAACTTAACATTTTGGAGATCTGGAAAAGGTCTAGGCCGCAGGCAGAAATTGGAGTGTTGACAGCGTATGGGTACATTTGGTATCGTGATAGTGGATAAGGAAGGGGTGTAGATCCAGGAAAAGTAGAACCAAGGAAGCAACCCTGACAACTAAGGTTTAGAGAGGAAAGAAGGAATCAGTGAAACGTACTGAACATGAGCAGGAATGAAATGGGAGAAAAACAAGAGAGTGAGGTGCCATTTGTGTTTAAACATGTAATTTTGAAGACTTCAGAAGGCTACTAAAACATCTCATTCATTTTCTTTCTAGTTAAGAAAGAAAACCATATTATAGCTCTTAGAGGAAGAAGGAGGGGAGGGAGGGGAAGAAGGAGATTGTAATATAAGAGAATGCAGGAAAGAGAGGGAGAAAGTGGGGATAGAAGCAGGAAATACAACATAGCAGTTTTTTAGGTACAAATGCTTCAAATTTTCTAAAACAACTTTTTAAAGCATCAGACTTTATCTGCCCTTCCATTCTAAATGATAGCTTTGCTGGACAGAATAATCTGGGATGTAGGGCCTTGCCTTTCATGACTTGGAATACAAGTGCTTCCCAGATAAGGCCAAGTTAAAGGAGTTCATCATCACCAAACTGTTGTTATATGAAATGTTAAAGGGACTTATCTAAGAAAAAGGTGATGATCAAAAATATGAACAGTAAAATAACAAACTCACAACTATCAACAACCAAACCTTAAAAAAAAAACCCACAAACACAAACTAAGCAAACAACTAGAACAGGAACAGTATCACAGAAATGGAGATAACATGGAGGGTTATCAGTGGGGAAGAGGATGGGGGATAATGGGGGAAAATGTACAAGGAATAAGAAGCATAAATGATCAGTACAAAATAGACAGGGGGAGGTTAAGAATAGTCTAGGAAATGGAAAAGCCAAAGACTGATATGTACTACCCATGGACACGAACTAAAGATGAGGAATGTGGGTGGGAGAGGGGGTGCAGGACAGAGGGGAATAAAGGGGGCAAAATGGGGCAACTGTAATAGCATAAACAATAAAATATATTTAAAATAGGAAAAAACAAATCTGCCTCTCTGTAAAAAATAAAATATATAAAAGAGCACTTGAAAAGACAAATAAAATAAAATAAAATAAAATAAAATAAATAAAATAAAACACCAGACTTAATCCTACTTCAAAACTCATCTGAACTATATGAGGTTATATATAACATTTTATTATCTTGCATTTCTTTTTCTCTTGGAAGGAAGACAGGAAGGATGGTTCTAGATGCTTCTACCTAGTTATTTTTTAACCATAACAGTTCTGAGCTATATGCATTATTAGCCCTTTTGTGGATGAAGAAGATAGGGATCTGAAAAATAAACTGCAAACATGATGGTAAGAACTAGACACTAGGATAGCTCACTGCCTCCTCACAGTCTAACTGAGACAGACGGAGGCTCTAAAGAATGTTCTCCTCATCCATCCCCTCAGGTGGAGGAAGGTTCCCAGGACAGCGTGGTCCAAAGCTGCTACTGAGCCTCCCGGGACTCCCTCAGTCTGTGCTGGTTGGTGTGAAAATGGGATTATGCTTGTTAATGGATACTGAATAAATTATAGTTCTATCTTTAATAAATCATTGCTCTGCACTATTTATTACAGTGCTAATGGAATATTTTTGTAATTATTTCTCCATATGTGAAGGTAACACTTTAAACCTTTTAAAATGTCACCGAAGAAGCTACTTCTAGATTCTTTTGGGATAATTTTACTAGCAGAACATACGATTTTTAAAACACATTTTTTCTGACATACCAAAACTTCATCAGAGATGTCATACTCAGATAAGGTTATGGAAAAAAGTGAGTTAAGAAAAGGCCAAAGGTCTTCCCATGGAAAGTATGTTGGCCAATAAATCTATGCTCAGCTTAGTTCATACAGCCTTTCTAGATCATTCTAGGACATAAAAAGAGTGCTGGTGGAAATGCAAACTTTGAACCCATGCAGTAGACCTGACTCTAGATCCTGGTTCTGCTATTTCCTAATCGTATTTAATTAGCAGGGCTTCAAATCACCTGTCCCTTATTGAATTTCATTCTTCATTTCTGTCTCTGACTCAACATGCTAGCCCTGGACTGCATGCTCACCCAGAGGAAACACTGTCATACCTATCTCCACACAGCCCACATCAGCCCCACCTACCCACCCCTGACCTTTGCCTGGACAAATGCAAAGAAAGACTTCACACCTTCCTACTGAGCACCCACGGCAACCACAATATGCCACAAGTCCCGTGACTGTCCTGTGACAGTAGCATATACTGGGGACTAGGCGAGCATGGAAGGATTTGTAACCCACAGGCAGAGCAGATCAGGAAGGGCTTCCTGGAAGAAGTGATCCTTAGATTAATTATTTAACTTAGCTGGAAAAAGAACTCGGGGTGGGGAGGAGGAAGAGATGCAAGTTATGAGGAGTAGCAGTAGGGCACAGGTGCCTTTTCATTGATCCTCTTCTTATCTAGTATTTTCAACATCCTTCTTGAGACCTTCTCTGGCAGAGGCTGCTATTTGCCTACAAATATGCAATTCTCTCTGGAATTAATAGGAAAGCTAGAAACAGTTAGCAGTCTCCCTTGCACTCAGGCGCAGGGCTTGAAAAAGTCTCCATGAAAGAAAGGAAGTATGCTATTCTTTGCTCTTCTCTCCATCCTGGAGCCTGGAAGGTGGGTGTGATGGCAAGCACTCTAGCGCTCACTTTGGATGGAGGGAAAAGGAACACAGGAACACGGGGACGAGTGTAGGCGGAAGCTGGAAGAGTTTGAGTTATTTGACAAGGTCATGCAGGCAGCGTACTTCAGCATTTCCTTTTATGTAAGAAACGGGTAACCTCTTACCTTGTCTGGGCCTTCATCGATTAGTATTTTTTCTATTATGTGCAGCCGTTCCTAAGTGATCCACCTTTCAAGACCATCCTAGCTCACAAATAATCATCACTTCCTTCTCTAAATTTATAGCACGTGTTTTCCCCACTCGCTAGACAAATAAATCTCTGGAGACAACCGTTGTATGGCTATTTCACTTTTCCTGGATTTATATTATACCTTCCCAACACATTACATGCTTCTTGGGGGAAGAGCGTCTGCCATATATTTTTCCTTGTCACCTCAGTTCCTAGCAAATTATTTGGCCTAGAGTACACATTTAATAAATGTTTACTGTCTGATTAGGTCATGATTGCCCTTTAGAAAAAATGTGGGGACTTTTAAATCTTGGTTTCAAACTCTTCGGAAAGGAAAGTAACAATGTAAAGGAAAATAAAAAAGATAAAAACTGAAACCACACGGTAATGCCCCTGAGATGCCGGGACATGACAGCGTAGAGTCCAGAAATCTCCTCCTTTGCTTTCTCGGAGATAGAAGTTGGTAGCACAGAGACCACCTTACAGGCAGAAGCCGACCCATCTGTGAGCAGAGCCCCCCACTTCTGAGTTTGTCATCGCTGATGAAGTTTGACCCCTAAAAATACAACCTCATGCATGTGGAAGCTATTTGTGCTAAAAGTTCGATTATCTCACACATGCCTCCCTTCCACAGCTTCATCCCCAACACAGATTTCATTTACGTTTGTGCAAATAACGTGCTCCACCCTGTTTGAGCCTCTAATTTTTCTTTGAAAGCCTTCAAGGCTCTGTACTTTGGGACTGTCTGCCTTTCTGCAAACACTGTTTCTGCAAACTGTCATTAAAACATATCTACATGGTCCATGGGAAAAAAGGCAAGTGAAACCAGGGAAGAAAGGGGGCGGGGGGGGGGTGGGGGTGGGAATCACATCTGTATATCCACCAAATACAAACACAAAAAGAAAAAAGAAAAAGACAGGCAAGACAATTTATAATATCAAAAGAAAACAAAATCACTTTTTAATTGACTTTTCCTTTGCCAGTTCTGAAGCTAAGCACTTGCTTCTTCCTTATTAACTTTAGTTTTTGAGCAATTTCTTCCATTGTAAGCACTTTCTAAAAAATCATTTTCACACATTTCTCAGATACATTAATCCTTTTGGCATTCCTCTATGCACACATTGCGGTACTCCAGCTCCGAACATAAAAGACTTTTATTATGTCCATTAACCATGGACATATGTGCTCCAAAAGTTTTCTGACATGCAGTCATTTGTGGTTTTTTAATTATAAACAGAAAATATTCACTAGAAAACTAAAGAAGCCAGCCCATAAATATATCTTTATACGTTTGAGCTTTGCTTGTCTATGACAGAACGTTTGGACAGATGACTCTCCTGGGCGCAGGCTCCAGGGTGTGAGCGTGCGTGCGTTCATAAACACGCAGGGATGGACGTACATTCCCGCATACAATGAAATCTGCACATCGTGCAGGACTCGCGCCTCTCTAACAGGGAGTACTGCTGTCTTATCCCTAAAACGGGAACAGACTTTCCCTGCACTCACCAGGTCTCCCTGTACGTGCCCGTGACATGGGAAAGAAGCCCACGCCCAGTGAAACACTTGACAAACAAGGTCATATTTATTGAATGCGTTTTATTTTAACAACCAAAAAATTCTAACAGCCTAACAATGCACATAAGTTAAAAATTAATTATCACTTAGTGATAACAAAGATAGTTGATTTACATGGAAAAAAGAACATTTACAATATGTTAATCCTTATTCACATTGTTGATACCGCAATAAAACACAATTTGTTTTTCATTTCACAAAAAAAAAAGGCGGGAAATTGTGCTTTGTCAAGAGGCACTACAAGAGAAAGTTTCTTCTTCCAAATAGATATTATATGACAGATATTGAATAAATAGACATATATGCATTGTAATTCGCAAAGATCTGGCAAGACCACAGGCTAAAATGCCCACAGATTCACTTAGAACCACTGCAAACTTGGCAGTGAAATTAAAAAATAAAAGGCAAGACTTAGCATTGAAAAATACCTAATAAATTTTTGGTTGAAGTGTAAAAGATACCAAATGCGGATGCCATCGATAGATGAACCACCTCGTAAGAGCTTGGCAAAATCAGTTTCCATTACGCGTACAGAGTGACCTTCAGCTACAGTGTAAGAAGACAATTTGGAAAGAGTAACTCGGAGATCAGGAAGCAGCAACCACGGACTTTCTGATTAAAGCTGCAGCATACTACAGAAGTAGGAAGGCTGGGCCCAGGGCTTAACTGCAAACAACTATCCTTTTGCAAAGGTATATGATGCTCATGTCAAGATAATTTTTAAAACATCATGATTTGAAAAAGTACAGGAAAATGTCCCTTTAAAAACTCCAGAGGTTACTGAGCAGCTAGAATTAGCTTGTATTGCAACATGTCTTCTCCCTGTATATTGTAAATTCTGAGTTAATATCTTACACATAGAGGTTTTTGTTTTTTAACTCCTACCTTTTATACCTTTCAAATATATAAATAGTATTAACAGTTATATTACAATGTTTGTGTAGTAAACAGAAAATAACTTTCAAAGTGATATTGCATGAGGTCTCTGACAAGATTGCATGAGAGCACAACTCAAAAAACGTAATCCAACTGTGCGGGACCGTTTGATGGCCACGCTGAGCGTGGATTAGGTTCACCAGGCCAGTCCTGAAGGTGAGGTCTCCTCTTGCAATGACTCTAAGTAGAAGTGAAAAGTAATGCTATTGGCATGTCTGATAGGAAGCTATAAGAGGTTGGGAGAACTAGAGTAGAATGCAGCTTTAATGCTCATTCCACTAAACAGCCAGTCAGCATTAGTTCTGCTTTATATAAGGTAATTGCTGTGTAGGTAACTGGGAAAATGTTTCCGTTGGAGGCGAGTAGGTGATTCTGCTGCGATTGCTTCACTTACTCTATTGCCTGGAGCTGCACAATGATTCAAAAACAGGTTCTTGTTAGGGCTGCCACCCCAGGGAAGGGCTGAGGCCAGTGAGAGCAGGGGCCGAAAGCGTGTGGTCAGGTGGATGGAATGTGTATGAAGAAGAGGAAGCCCAAAGTGAGACAGAAATGAGAAATGTCTTTTGGGAGAAGAAAGGATGGAGATTTATTTCAGAGGGAGCCCCTTTAACTGGGCAGCAACTTCTTTTCTAACTTAACATTACATTAAACTATTTTCTATTAAAAAAAAGAAAACAGCAACAAACAACTTTTAAATGAGCAGGCTTATTAATTTTAAGATTTGAAGCCACGAGCAGGTACGTAAATTTCACAACAAAATGTGGCTCATACTATGAATTCCATTATGTCCAACGACAAAATGTCATTTTATCAAGACTGCACTAATGTACAAGTTGTCTGTGTACTGAATTTCGGTTTTACTCATTTGGAATTCCATAGAAATACATCTGTTCACTAAAGTAATAACAAGCTGAATAACGGAACATAGCGAGTCATTTTAAGTGTGCATTGTGTCTTTAAGAGTGATTTGACTTGTATCATTTAAGGTGCCCTGATTTTTTCACTTTCTTCTTATTTCTTTTTCTTTTTTTTTTTGGCAGTGTTGATTTATTTTGTTAAATACATACCTCAAAAATTACCCATCAAGCTGCCAGATAGGAAGCCATAGAATTTTAAAAAATCAGGGACAAACACAGAAAATAAATAGGAATTCAAAAATAGTCACCCCACCCTGAGAGCAGGCCGAAGTTTATCAAAAAGCCAAAGCGACTCACTGTGAAGTGGTTTTTTTTTTTAATACATAAACAAGTCTCTTCTTTAAGAACTCATTTCACAGTCTATTCTTTCGGATTGTAAAGTTCTCTGTCCCATGCAATTTTAATATATATATGTAAATATATAGATATATACATATACATATACACACACACTTGTAGCTTCCTTCATTTATTTCGTAGGTCTTTTCATCCTGGAACTTGCCTGATGTCTCTTCCGTAAGTGCAAGAATAATGAAGGCAGAGTCTCCTGTGATTATAATTACTATGATCCCATCCATTGTAAAAGTGTAACACTTCAGCGTCTTTGCCAAGGCGATCTCTGATTCGGAAATACTGAACTTACTCAGTCTACAGGTGTACCCTGTGCAACAAAGAAATGTCAAAAAAGGTAAGAAAAACAAAACAGACAAAAAAAACGACAAAAATAAAATAAAGCAAAAAAATTTTTTTAAAGAAACGAAAACAGAAAATCCTTGGACCGATGTATTGCTTTGCCTGGTAGGAGTTCACATTATCTCTGGTCGATTTCAGCAGGCGGGGCCTTGTTTTTCTCCGCACTTTCTTCCTCCGCCTCCACTTTGTACATCTCCTCCGAGCCTTCCTCGCTGTCATTCTCCTCCGACTCCGTCAGCAGCTCCTCGTCCTTATACTCAGCCACGTCCACGGCGGAGCCCAGGTGCTCCTTGAGCTTCCCGTGGTGTTTCACGTGGTACCGCTGGTTCTGGAAGAACTTGATGATGGTGTGTTTGGGGAGATCCAGCTGGGCAGAAAGAGTGTGAATAGCTTCCTGATCGGGGTACAGGCCCACATCATGAATAAAACTTTGGAGGATCCCCAGGGCTTCCAAGGAGATCTTTGTGCGAGACCGAGGCTTTTTGGCACAACTGTCTTCGGTCGGAGGAGGTGGCGGGGGTGCTTCTTCTCTGGGAGGGGAACTCTCCTTGGCCGGCTGAGACTGCTGTCTGTGAAGGACCTGATTATTAAAATAAAATAAAGAATGAACATGTGACTCATGATTTTACCTTTCCAAAGTCACCAACCCCTGAAATGTGTGTTGTCTGTCCAGCTTTGGAGTAAGGCTACACTCATTTGTAAATGCAGGCCTTCGGGAAACTTAGAAGCACTCCTGGAGATTTAGAATCATATCTGCAGAACAAGAGGTTAATAGTAGTAATGTCTGCTAATACTCTGAGGCACAAAGAAGTCAGTCATGTTGGCCACGGTCATCTGAATTCAAGCAATCTGGCTCCAGAATCTTCCTTGCTATTAAGCAGCAAGATATGCCTGCCACCTCTCCGAGAACTAATGACGAAGAAACTGGACCCGGAAAGACAGTGCAGGCTCTAGCATTACATCTCCTAAGTTCAAGTCCAGACTCTTCCACTTTGCTGGATGTCCTTGTGCAAGACACTAAACAGCTTTAAGCCTCAATTTCATCATCTATAAAAGATGGACAAGACAATAACTTCCTAGGGATGTTGTAAGGATTAAATGACATAATGTATGTAAAGAACAGTACTTACCTTAGATCAGAGGCTGACAGACTTTTTCAGTTCAGGGCCAGATAGTAAATATTTTAAGCTTTGCAGGGCCATAGTCTCTGTTGAATGACTCAACTATCTTTACAGCATGAAAGTAGCCATAAGTACCATATATACAAATAAACATGGCTATATTCTAATAAAATTTTATTTATAACAGCAGGTGGCAAACTGAACTTGGCCCATGGGTCATAGTTTGTCCACTTCTGGCTGAGGGCAAATGTCCAATAAATGACCGTCATTGTTACCATCGGCCTCATGATTACTCTTAGAGGAAGAGTTGATATTTGAGCCAGAAAATCAATCCTTTATAAAATTAGGAACTTTATTTTATTTTAGCCCCACTTTTGATCCTTAAATATATCTTTAAATAAAAGCATCCAAATTAATTTAAAGGTAAAACTTTTTCTTACATTATGAATTTTAAGTGACTTTTACACTTATTTGGATGGACTTTCCCAATATCACTATAAACTATTAATCATCTGTTTTGCACACACTTCCTAGTTTCTGTGTTTTCATCTTTAATATCAAAGTTTTCTAGTTGTAATTAATTTAAATTTCTCTTTATCCCTGCCTATCCCCCACTTATTTAAAGAAAGCAGCTCTAGTAGACACGCTTATTCTTGATCTTCGTAATTGCTTCCTAACAACATCTCTCTGCGTGAAACAATTTCCCATTTGAATATTTATTCAAGACCTTCTTCAACCTGACAGAAGAAAGCAAGCAACATGGAGGAGACTGTCAGAGCACCTGGCCCGTGCTCACCACAGGCTGTGTGAGGAGGGCGTCAGGGGCTGCGTGGACAGGGGACAGGGAGCGTTGGTCCCGGACAGGTGGGTGGGCACGGCTCACGCCTCCCAACAGCAGCAGCAATGCCGTGTCTACTCCAAAGGCAAAGACCACATTTCTTCTACTCAAATGCTGCCTGCTCTCTGGGTCATCCCAAGACCGTTAAGAACAGTGAGTTTACTTTTTGAAAAAACACACATTTTTTCTCTTACCATTCTTTCATATTTTATACATCTTTTCCATGTTAGAGTAGCAACTTAAGTATTTTCTAGAGTTCAGGGGGTTCTCAGTCCCATCAGTGTGGAAGGAAACCTGTCTCGTTACACTGAAGAATCACTGGTCCCACCATCACCATCGCCCAACACGCCACCCGTATGACCCATTTCTTCCCTCAGCTATAAAACATCAGTGTCAAAGCAAGCATTTCAGGGAAAAGAATCTCTGCCATCTATCCTAGTCTTAGGGACCATCTGGTGAAAAAATACTTTCTCAGTAATCTGAAAATACCAGTCTTTTATATAGAATTTAATACATATTAGGGAAGATGACACTGTTACCTAAGAGAATGATAAACAAGAGGATAAGACTTTTCAAATAATAATTGCTAATCAAGAAACAATCAAAATAACAATAGAAAGGCGAATCAAATGCAAGTAAGAATATCTCATAATAGCTGACAGCCTACAGGAGTGAAAAGAAATCTAAACCCAAGGACCATAAAACAGGGGCACCAAAGGTCCCCGTGTGATGTTCACCAATTAAAATGAATGTTCTTGGCATTTTCTTTATCACTTTCGACTAAGAGTAAACTCGCGTGGTCTGCTGTGGTGAGCTGGCATCAGCAAAAAAAAAAAAAAAAAAGAGAGAGCTCCATTACTTCCACAAGCCAATTACAGCCCTCAGGAGGAGCGGAGGTGCACATGCGCCTGTCTGGCTCCTGGCGACTCTCACGGCAGGAAGATACGGGCTCTGAGGCCAAGTCTGGGCAGCCTGAGCATTGTAATGAATGAGCCTCTGTGTCAACAGGTGAGGATTTGCGTTTCTCATGAGAAAGGCTGAAATTCAGTGTGCAATACACATCCTGGAAGGGCATATACTGAAGCATGAGTCTCCCCTATTAGAGCAATTGCATTAATTGGAAAACAAAAGAGAATTAAAATGCCCCATTTTCTAAATTATGCTTGTCTTCTTTAGTAAAAGTCAGCATAACGGTTCCATGTAATTAAATAATTAGATTGGTTCTTTGGGGGTTTTCCATTGTGCACTGGTTGAAGAGATTTTCCAAAACTCTACTTGGACCTTACTATAATCTTTCTGCATGACAGAGTCTGTTCCTCTCCTTAAGTGCCACCAATGGGCCTGTGTCACCTCCCCTGCTTCACATTAGGACCTAGCAGTAGTAACACGTGCTCACAGGGAAGCCACACCTGAAACAGAAAAACAATGGCAATCAGGGCTGCCGCTCATCGAACGCTTCCCCTGTGCCAGGCAGCTCTCAGCCCTTCAGGTAGGATTAACACTGATGATCCGCCCGCTGCCTCCTGAAGGCGCTAGATGGAGCAAGAACCTGAAAACATGGAGCACCTCAGGAAACCCCTCTAAATCGGACATTAAAAACACAGGGAGCCGTCGGCCTGAGAAAGCAGGTTTCCAAGGAACACTGAGATCCTGTCACAGAAGAGAAAGATGTTTCTCAGAGAAGTAACAAGAGAAATAATCTAGAGAGTGTAATACCTTGTTTCTGGCCAGAGAATATTCTATAGTGAGTTGGGCAGCATGGTGCTATCTCCGTGAACAAGGTTAAGTGGCATTTCTAGCATCTCTGAACAGATAAGGAAAGAGCGGTCAGGACAGAGAAGGACGAAATGAGAGGCTTGAAGGTGAAACCGTCTTACCCGTTGCGGAAAGGGCCTCCCTGAGGTTTTTCGGTGACACTGACACAGTTCTTTGGCTATGACCCCCTTTCAACTGCAATATGCCTAAGACCTGAGATGTGAAGATCCCCCAAGTTATCTCTGGCCTAAATGACCGTCTTGCCCCGTAAATGTTCTAATTATCCAGGTAGATAATTTTTAGTAGAAAGTATCGCATAAACTTCCTCACCAGTCAACTGCAGTAGCTTACTACTACAACACCCTAGGCATTCTTCTTGTCACGCAGTGCTTCCTTCCAGTGGTTTAAGGGCTCTGAACACAGCAGAATGAGCCTAACGCTTACAAGACGGTCTTTCTGAGACACGGAGCTCAATCCGAGCCCTCTCTGAAAACCTTCCTGTTTCAGTGGCAGGGACTTTTCTTCACTCTCTCACATGCTGACTACACAATGTCAATTCTTCTAGCTTCTTCTTCATAAGACAGATTTCCGAACTCCCACATAACTGAATTTTAGTTCTTCGATCTGAATGCTTTAGAGGTGTTCAAAATCCCTTGACAGCCAGAATAAATCCACTTTGGCCTCTGTCCTGAGCAAGGGCTCGGATGGACCTACAAGCCATCCTGTTCCTCAGCTCATTTGATCACTCAGGCTTGTATTGCTGGCTGGTTGGTTTTATTTTAATTACAAAGTTTTTCATTTATTTCAACAAGACAGAGTATACCCTGCCAACTTAAAGAGATATGCCTTTCCTAACAAGTTCTTCCCACACCCAGGTTATTGATTTCTGAGATTTTTAAGTTTAATGGAGCATCTTCCCAGACATTTAGGTGACACTGCCCAGGTCTTCAGACTCTCCAGCCTTTGGCCCCCTTTTCAAAGTGGGCCCGGCACTGCCCTTCTTCCCTTCCTAAGGTCCATCATCTTTCATGCGATTTCCCCAAATAACGGAACATGTCATTCTGTAAAGATAGCCATCCATCCCTTTACTCTTGAGCTTTGTAAACTGAAGCCTGATAATTCATCCTAGCTCTATTTTTGTTTGGATTTTTCTTTGTCACAATTGAACTTAACCTAGAGCACAATTCATCTCTGATAATTTCTACAAAGAGAGTTTGAAAAGGTTTATTTAAAAATATCTCCCATAGCTTTTATCATTGATTTTTCAATACAATTAGGGTTCATACCACTGACATTTCTAAGCAGCTTTAGTAACAACAACAATAATAACGGTAATAATAGGTGGTCACATTCATAGTAAAGCTTATTATGAGCCAAAAACTCACCTGAATGATGTAAATATATTTTAACTTAGTTTATTTTCAATAATCCTGGAGGAAGGCATTTTTATCCCATTTTATGATGAAAAAACTGGAGTTCCGACAATTTTGATAATTTGGGGCCACATAGCTTATAAGCAGCAGAACTGGGATTCTAAAACATGTCTATCTGCTTTCAAATCCTATGCCCTTAAACCTTATGCTCTCCTGCCTTCTATGAGCAAAAGATTACATAGGAAAATTGAATAAAGTCTCTAGGGCAGAGGTAATGAACCACAAATAAAATATCAGGTAGCAATAACTACTACAAGCAAAAATAGAACAATGCATAAGGAGGAGACTCGGGGACGTGGACGTTGCTTTAAACACGGTGACCTGAGGAAGCCTCCCTAGGGAGGAAGCATTTGAGCAGAGGCCTGAAGGAAGTGAGGACCGAGCTGGAAGAAGGGCATCGGGCAAAGGAAACGGCAAGCGAAAGGGCTGGCGG